GTTAAACCAGGCTTTTGGCGCATTAGAGATATCACCTCTAGTTACTTAGACTTGCATTAACAAAAGGAACAGCTGGGAGAAGTGCTTTAGTAAAACTACGAATAAACAATCACAAACTAATGATAGAAATAGGCAGATACAATCAAACTACGACGGATAATAGGCATTGCCCTTTTTGTGGATCCAATCTAATAGAAGACGAAGTTCACTTTCGTTTTCACTGTCCTACATACTCTATGATTAGGAATAGTTTTTACTATAAAGTCAAGACACTGATTTCAAATATTACCCAGTTACCTATACAAGGTTTGATCAATGGACTGATGAACTCCCCTAATTACTTTATCGAAATACAATTCATAAAATATATTTCAGCTTGTTTTGATGTCTGTGACAAATTATTATCAAGTAACGTAACAGGCCATTTCCGAGTTCCCCCGTGCCTCTGTATCAAAACGAGGCTAAGTGCTCAGCCTTTGATATGAAAATGATTTTTCATTCTCATGCAAATAAAACTCATTTTCACAAGAAAGGTTGTGCACTCCGAGGTTTTTCGGAACTCGAGAGTGGCCTATTGCCCTATGATGTAGTTTTGATTCCTAAAAATAGCTTTTGCAATACTGTATCTGCTTCTACATGTATGGTCATGCAAATAAAGCTCGTTGTTGTTCTCAGGTAGAGCTATGAGTATCTTTTTTTGCATGACTGGCTGGTGTGCACTAGATCTGGGAATCAGTTGTTCATTTTCTCAGTATCGTAGATTGCACCTATGGCTTTTCACCCTTCTGATAATGCAAAATCATGGTTGTTTACCATTTACATGGGCAAACCGGTCGGCTCACGGTTTGAGCAAAAGCTGAGAACACTTTGCGCAAATGAAAGTTTATTTTCCTGGATTGATATCAGCGCAATACAGATGAATAAGTATTATTATTATTATTATTATTACTACTTTATTATTATTATTATTATTATATTAGCTTATTTCGTCCTCTCTTTAATTC